CCTCAGCCAGCGTGAGGGAACTATGGTCCCTTCATGACTTGTGGACTTCAACTCCCAGAATTCCTCAGCCAGCGTGAGGGAACTATGACCCTTTGATGACTTGTGGACTTCAACTCCCAGAATTCCTCAGCCAGCGTGAGGGAACTATAGCCTCTTCATGACTGGTGGACTTCAACTCCCAGAATTCCGCAGCCAGCGTGAGGGAACTATGACCCTTTGATGACTGGTGGACTTCAACTCCCAGAATTCCTCAGCGAGGCATGGAGAAGAGGTCTTCTCCGAGGTCGACGTCCCGCTTTGTCCCTCCGCCGGTCCCAACCTCTTCCTCCCCGTCTCCCCCTCAGCTCAGCCAGCATCCTGGTCCTCAGAGTCCCATCTTCCTGCCCACCGACGAGGAGTGGCTGTGGACCTTAGCCAAGACCTGGGTGCGAAACGCCGAGTTCCACACCCACGAGGACATCGCCCACCTGCTGCGCGGCCACCTGATGTCCGAGATCTTCTCGGTGGCCACCCTGAGGACCCTCCCCATGTGCCACCCCCTGTACAAGGTGGGAGTCCCGAGGCGGGCTGGGGGGGGCTCAACCGAAGAGCAGGTCCCCCCAATGGTGGTTAGCTCAAGTAACCATGGTTTCCTTCTCCTTCCCTGCTCCAGCTTCTGATCCCCCACTTGCGTTATTCCATCCACATCAACGTGTTGGCGAGGACCTACCTCATCAGCCAAGGTGGCACCTTTGATAAGGTAAGACTGGGGAACATCTGGGCTCAGCATGATGGGCTTGGTGGGCTGCCCCAAAGAAGAGGGGGAAGGGGGTCCACCTCTTCTCCAAAGCCCCCCGAAGGCAGGACAGGAAACGACGGATGGAAACTCACCAAGGAGAGAAGCAACCTGGAACTAAGGAGAAAGTTCCTGACAGTTGGAACAATTAACCAGTGGAACTACCTGCCTCCAGAAGCGGTGAATGCTCCAACACTGGAAGTTTTAAAGAAGAGACTGGACAGCTATTTGTCCCGAATGGACTAGGGTCACCTGCTTAAGCAAGGGGGTGGACTAGAGGACCTCAAAAGATCCATTCCCAACTCTGCTTTCTTTTCACAGGCCATTG